GAAAATCGGTCCACTGTTATTGTGAACAGTTGTTCATGTTGTTACTAGCACTATTACCATTTTTATCATAGCACTTATTATTATTATTATTATTCATCAAGACAATTTCTTCCTCTCCCAGCATAACTGGTCCTGACTTATTTATTAATTACCAAAAATGAATAAGCACATAAAACCACATAACCTACATTACAGGTTGGTCAGCATTCATATCATATAATATTTGATTACAATAGAATTTTTAAGTTGAACATTAGTAGTTCAACAGATGAGCAGAGCATTCGGAACTGTTCAGAATTATTGGTCCACTTCATGTTATAGCTAACAACGTAATGAACTATAGGTATTGAAGAAAACGTGAGATTTTCGTCACTGAAATATGTGATATATTTTATTTGATGATATTGCTGTTTTTAAACATTCGTAAATTGAATTAACCATCACTCTATTAATACAACGATTAAACGTGATCAAGATTGAGAATTTTGCATAAAACTACTTGCAAAATAACGGCTCTTCGACCCTAGAAACTAACGCTTGAGTATCTGAAACAAATTCTAACACCTTACATACTTCATTAAATGGTAAACGATAACGAATAAAAAAACTCAACATGGAACTACTACTCGATAATGATTACATAATTTCTTGAAAGTCTTATGTAACTCAAGCCACAGAATAAGATTCCTAACGATACAAAATAGCATCTACAAAATTCCTAGATTAATGAGATTTAGGTATCCGGAAAAGGAAACCAGATTCGCGTATAAGCTTACATTCGTATAACTGAATAGTACATCATCACACTCGTAATCCTCGTTATGTAATATGTTAGCCAGAAGACTTGTTCTAGATGTTTAAAAATAAAGAATTTGACTATGTTAATTCATAAAATATTTTTATTCTTCAAGGATCTGCTTAAAAAACCGAAATACCTTTATTGATTGATTACCGAGTAACAACGAAGCTTATAATTCTTTTAGATTCTTAATAATCACTTAATTTCATTGACCAAGTTTTAGTTTGGAAATTAGTCCAGGTGATGCGATAATACATATACTACCTTTTGATATAAGACGGCTGGACATGATCGGCAGAAACTTTTGAACCTAGGTTTCTTGCTAAGTATATTCGAAATATTGGAGAAACTGATGTGCCATATAGAGTCCAAACTGGCATACCCCTGGGAGTATCAGTTTTGAGGTTTGTGCCGATCGTCTTTAACCACCTAGCATTAAGCGATAAATATCAAGTAAGCTCTGTTAAATAAAAACGGAGAAGTTTCGCTAGGATTAATAATTCAAACACTACTCTATTTTGCATGTTACACGAGTGCATGTTAGGGGGAATAATAAATTCATGTGGCAAGAATCAGAGGATTTATACGCAATAGATTGTTTATTTGAACAGTCTTCTGGATTTTAATGACTTGACTTTAAAGTGACGATAGGCAACTCGGTATTATTTGGAGAAAGGTTTTCGCTTGCTTATTATTATTTAGTAAAGGGTAGTGAACCGTTCCGATCCCTTGATTCCTGTTAATATTTGTAATGAAAGTTACTTTGGCGTGTTCACTCAATCTCTTCGCCTAAACGTTATGACTCATTTGTGTTTTTTTCCCTTATTTTTCGTAATTTTAACACTGTTTTTTAAGTATATTCGTTACTCTCATTGATTCCCGCTTGTTATCACAGCATAGTTCAGAATCATAATTTACTCATAGTCTCGTAACTGGTAATCGAATATCTGGAAGATCTGAAGTCACATTTTGATTAAAATAATTAAATTCTATATAAACTAAGAGGTAAGATTTCTAGGATATTTGTGTTCATTAAATTACCTTGTAACGACTTTTCATATAAAAAAGTATATAGTTATATAAAACAATGGGGGTGGTTACGAGATTGCAACTAAAGACTGGACTATAAAACTGGACTTTTGACAACTTGTAAGTTAGCTTCAGAAGTACATCTATTCTTTATAGTCTCGCAAAAATAAATAAACGTATCTTAAAATTCAACTGAACACTAGTCTCTCATTCATTCTGTAGCTTAGAATATAATTGACAATAGTCAACAATTATACTTTACGGTTCAATTGTTGAAATACCTAATCAGTGGTCGAGTAGTCCTTGATTTAAACAAATTGATTAATCAGACTGATAACATTTTGAGACTCTGAGGCAATAAAAATAAAGGAATTGAAATTTCGTACTTAATTTTAAAATGTTGCGCAAACCCCAATGTTACAGAATCCATGTTGAAACAAATTATTTTATAATGTGTCATCAAATCATGAGAGATCTATAAAAGCATTGACTTTTGTTTAAAATACCGTTTTAGAATTATTTCATAATTTCGGAGGATGATCTTGAAATACATTCATGTTTGGGGAAACGAAATAATTCATAAGTTTTAGGTTCAGTTTCATCATTTGAATCGTTGGCTATTTATTTGCATTTTCATGTGTATATTTACAAATAAACTATAATATTGACTTCTGTAAATTCATCTTTATTTGAATGGGTTCTGGAAATGTTAATAGAAGACACTATGAAAGCCAAGGGGAACAAAACTCGCTAACTAAATACAGTTGTAAGCACTTTATTCACCAAATCTTTTTTTGTTCTAATAAAATCTAGCTAAATGAATAAACGAATTGTACCATATCTGTTTAGTTGAGTGGAAAACAATAAAGTGCGCCAGAACATGTAGCTATGAATAAAGCCCAAGTTAATTTATAATATCAGTATGGGGGTTGTGGAGATTGTTAAGTTTTTGGTTGAGATCATGAATCAATTGATGTTAGACCACCGTTGGAAACCTGGAAGCACTGGGTTCGAATCCCGCGGGGTGAGGGATCGTGGATGCGCACTGCTGAGGAGTCCCATACTAGGACGAAACGGCCGTCCAGTGCTTCCAGGTTTTCCATGGTGGTCTAACATCAATTGATTCATGATCTCAACCAAAAACTTAACAATCTCCACAACCCCCGTACTGATAATTAACATGTGCTCACTAGTGACTAGCTTCGTGAGGGAATTCTCGGAGTTCTAGTGAGAAGTCGTGACCAGTGGAGCTAATCCGTGTCAGGTAGAGAGAGGTATCTGCCTCAGTACAATGGAAGTTGGTCGCGCAATTTCGTGAATTGGTTGATGTTAGACACTAACACCATTGGATGCCGGCTCAGTGGTCTAATGGCTAAGTGCTCAGGCGCGAAGCCAGTAGATCCTGGGTTCGAATCCCGCGGGGTGCGGGATCGTGGATGCGCACTGCCGAGGAGTCCCATACTAGGACGGAACGGCCGTCCAGTGCTTCAGTTCCAACGGTGGTCTAATATCAATTGATTCATGATCTCAACCAAAAATAATTTATAATAGCTGGAAAATCATGTATGTTATACCCAATGAATGAAATTAGAGAGTAGATAGTAGAAAAATGTGTGGTTAGTATTTATAACCAAACCAGATAGTTAATCATCACTGCCTGGTAAACTGTAAAACAATTCGTTCGAAAGACGATGGTTTGAATCACCAAATGTTTTCAAAAATCGTTGATTAGGTCAGTTAAATATTATCTGTATGGCTTATTGCACCTCCTTAGGAAACGAGATATATGGAGATTGTTCGATTTGGGCGCAACAATAATAACAGACTGACATCACTTGTAAGATCATTGAACAATAAGAACCACATAATAGATACTTCGACCTAGTATAGGACTTTTCAACAGAGTACACTTATCTCCTACCTCAGGAGACATGTAAGACATTTAAGCGCATTACCTTCAGATCACTGAATTAGCGTCCAGTGGTTCACGTTTCTTGTTCCACTTAGTTCGTAATATAACACTACTGCTATTGAGTTATGTAGAAGACATCTACTTCACTTAAAATGAAGTTCAGTATGATGAAAAGTGTGTTTATCATGTACTTTACTCCTGAAGACCTTGAAATCAATGGTATGCCGTTAGTAAAATCTTAAGCAGAGTTCAATGATTCAGTGTATTAATTTACAGACATTTTTGCTTAACTAACAGTCCAAAAGTTACATAAAGCTTATTGCATTGATATAATATTTTAATAATCAAGGTTGTAATACACTAATATTGAAATATCATTACTTACAAAAACGTTGGCAGAGAATTTTAAAATTTACTAGTCGTTAGGTTGTTTGATTTTTGCATATCTTTCCCCAATTGCTAGGTATTCATTTGTACAAAAGTAATAGGTGAATAGGAAATGAATAAATGAATGAGTGAAGAGATTGGGAGTTCCGAAATTTGTATATGATAACCATAATCATTGATACTAATACTGTTTTCAGTAATTATAAAATTAACTCGGGATAGGACAAAATACGGTAATTCAGTCTTTCTAGATTATTTGTATGCATATCAGTACAGCCCCATCTATAAAAAAATGGTATTTAGAAATATGTGTACATACATATCCAGACACCGTCACGCGTACACACATACACATACACACATTTGTAATTATATCCAACTGCACCCAGTCTACTGACAAAATTTCTCCCCTTTTGCCTATAAAATATTCACTGTCAGCACTATCTCCAATAAACTGTAAGTAGAAGTAATAATAGGACACAATAACAGTTGGCATAGTGCACAAAAAGTTACTAATTAAGAGAGGATAATAAAGAGTGACCGATTTGGCCAAGGTAAAAAAAATGCTTTGAATATATATATATATATATATATATATATATATATATATATATATATATATATATATATATATATATATATATATATATATATATTCGAGTAGTTCAAAACGTCAACATTATCAAACCATATCGAAAGTAGTAATAATATTCAATCAACTATTCATTAGTGCTCACAATCAACCATTGTCACTTCAACATACAACTTCTTTAATCGTCTCTGATTTAATCCTCTTTCTACCGGAGAAACAACAAACTGCCACTTGATTTCGTTATATTGTTATTACTCACACTACTGTTTACTAGTGAAATAATGCAAAACACTTATCCAAGTTATTATAATGAATATCTACGTTCATTTATTGGTGAGTTAATTGTTTATTTGTACCACTGTATTATATACAATGGGTCATTTAGTGATAAAACAAATTCGATTCTATTATTATTATTATTTAATTAACTAATAATTATAACATTTACTTACTTTCTAAACGACTGGAGATGTAATCGAGTATTGTTTTACCTCTGAAAAGATAATCATATACACTAAATAGAAGAGTTATTACTATTCTTTACAGAAATAATTAATACACAATGATATTTAGGTTTTTTCCTGTGTACATTCAAATTTATTCCTTGAACGTTACAGATACATAGAAATATTGAAAAGTTAACTAATATACATCAGAGCATCTTAAGAATATTTAAGATATTTCTCCCCAATAATCAGTCATATACTCATAGTTTACTGGTACTAGGACTATTACTGCTACTATTATCGGTGACCATTTCTGTATTGAAATAAAGCAGTTATGCTCAGCCCTTTATTTATTATTTCATTAACTTAAATTTGTACACATATATTTATGTACTAATCTACACATACGGTAATAATAATTGTAGGATTGATCCCCTTTTAATTTATTTATAAGTAGGTATACATACCCCTTTTTTTATTCATTTTATCCTTAACGTATATCAAGTTTAATGTTAGCAAATATTAGCTGTATATATTAAAATGCATTCCTATTGTCACTCCTGTAACAGTTCAGTATATCAGTGTAAAATTAACTCAGATATATTCTTATCAAACAAAATTACAATTCATGCATCACCGATTTTGAAATTGTTTCAGTAGTGTATAGAGTAGAAGAATAAATGTGGAAAAAAAGTAAAATAGACTACTTAAATGTAAGTAAAGAAATAAAGAATTTGTTTTTTATTGCCAAGATTGTGTATTGTATTTAACTTCATCGTAGTTATACCTTAAACACTATCAAATGCTAATTTTAGATCTCAGAAGTTATTCGAGTACTTGATCATTCAAATCAAGTGAATAAAACTCAAGTTATGCTTTATTCATATAAATGAAAAGTTCTAATTTCTTATAACTAGATTTATGGTCTTAAATGGTTGTTTTAATAGAAAGAATGTTCTATGTTAGTTATTTTGCAAAGAAATTAATAAACACCTTTAATTTCATTAACAAATGGTCAATTCAGTAAATATAATAAATGTCACCGAAAATAAATGAGTATTGACAATGGTCATTTCATCCCAATTCAAACGTGAATTATTTAACACAAAAATAAATTGAACCATATGTGTTTGCCTCAGTAAAATGTAATGAGAAGCATCGAAATATGTAGATCTCTTCCAGTTTGTAAAATGTAATCATTTTGGCTAAAAAGAAAAATAACAATTCGTGAGCAGTTTGTATTAGATCGAACAGAAGTCAAGCGAATTATTGTGTTTATTTTTAATAGCTTTATTCGTATGCATCTACGTATAGAAAAAACTAGAATACCATTAATACAAATAAAAAGGTGGAAGTGGATGAGTAAATGATATTGCTGAAATCTCCGCTTAAACGAATACATTTTAATTAACAAAGTTAACTGTAACAAATTTCAATAACTTCATATTATAGAATCTGAGTAGTTTTTAAAATATATCATTCTCTACACTTTGGAAAACTAGTATCACTCAAGATTATTTGAGTCAAAATTAAAGAAGTATCTTCATAGATAATTGAAGAAAATTCTTGGTCTTTAGAAGTCATGAACATTGTATTTCACTTAGAATATTAATTTTATCCAAGAAAGGTACGTTCGATCATTCTGAAGGTGGTGATAGCCAATTGAATTTCAAGATAATTTTGATGACGTAGAAATGTTTTCCATGTTGTCCACTCGTCCACCTTGGCCATTTATCACAGTAAACTAATCCACTTTTATGTTGTCCTCAAATTCGATGAAACGTTTCGTGTAAACATCATCAGAGATAAGTTCATCCGTTTAATGAATGAATTAATAATGTCGTATTTAGATTGTTAATAGAAGGAGAGAATTGTCTGAATAGACCAATTCATACTATTTCACTAAGATTGTTATTCGTTCCTTATTGAAATATCCGAAATGGTGACGTGACTATGAGAATAGATAATTATTGTTACATAAACCAATTGGTTTCTGTTGTTATTGTATAGTGTTGCAAAAGATTATTTGATTAGCTTAGTTCATCTCCATCTTTCAGGCATACTATTGTACATGTTAATGGAAACCGGATTTAATAGTCAATATTTCTGACACATTTCCTTCTGTTCTCATTTATTTGTATAGTTTTGTGATTTTAGTTTTAGTACGAAATTATGATGTTGAAAATGTGTAAAAATCATTCAACCTTTAAATTTAATGATCAACACTTTTTTTCTATCTATAATTTAAGTGGCCAGAACAACTTCGAATTTGATGTGATATAGCATCATTGTAATTTGCAGATGGGTGTATCCAATGTAAGTTGCTAAATTATGATGTTCGATATCATAACTAAACCATCTAAAATGTTAAAGATTCCACCAGAAAATTTCCATCAGTAGTTAGAGCATGGTTCGGAAGTTTGGTTTTACAGTAATGAGAGCAGAAGTCAGTAGAAAAAGACAACAACAGTTTTTCTGTCTTTACTTTTCTCGTACTGATTATTGTACGAATAGATCCCAATTATAGTGTATTCCTTATAGATATCCAACTGTTAAAAAAACTGGCAACTTTTCGCTTTACCATCTTAATTGTAATCATAATCTAAAAAATAAGTTGTGATACAGTTTTGATTTGTGGCTGAGATTTTTCTACTGAATACAAAATTTAGTCAGTTCTTTTAAGATAGGTCGTCCGTTATACATCTATATATTATGAGCATATTATGTATAAATTAAACTGATACTAGTGAATGATAAATAGTGGTCCCATTCTATCTGTTAACATAACCAACTCATGAATTAATAATTAACTTTCGAATTAAACTGTTACCAAAAGTCATCTAAATATAATATATCTTCTAATTACTTGATTTTATTCTATATGCTATTGAAGGTATAACACTGACTGTTGTTGATAGACTCAATCAACTTGGGGTGTACATTGATTTGTGTTCGAAGATATAATCAGTTCAGTATTCCTGACATATTATGACTAGTATTTACTGGGACATTGTCGGATAGACCTTCGTACTTTTTGGGAGACTCGTGGTATTTAAAGAAATATACTAGGATAGAACAAAAGAACTATATTACTCTGATTTTTATCAACTATGATCATTTAATAATAAATCATAATTAAAAAGTAATCATGCCACGATATAGTTGATCATTTTTTGAAAAGTAAAATCATGCTCGCCAATTTCGATCACAAATCAAAAATGGTCTAACGAAATATTCCGTAAAATCGCTCTAAGAGGTATTCTTTTCCAATATTCTGATCAAAGATAATGACATTTGTTAATTTACTGAGAATGCAAAAATACAGTTCACAAACATGCGATAAAAATTCCATACTTTACGATAAATATGTATTGTGAGATAAGTACTATGAATGTTATGCATGTTGAATACTATATATATATATATCTAGACAACTAGTTTCACAAGGTGTGAATGAAGTAATAATTGTTGATTAATTGTGCAAATATCAAAGAAACTCGTAGTTAATATGTGTTCGCTCTTCTTTCTCGGGAATTTATGTCCAACATAAATCCATTTGATTATTGGCATTTACATATCCGTGAAGTCTAACATCAATATAGTTTGGAGTAAATTTGAAAAGCTAGCCTAAATGCTCAGTAATTGTTTATTTCCTAACCTTGAGTCCTCATTGTTGAATATTACACTACCAAACTATAGATTACCGTTTCTCTATTTTGAATAGTAACATACACCTATTTCTTCTTAATAGCTAGCGATATTTTTAATAAAAAAAGATTTAGAACTGTCACAGTTAGCCATTAAGTTGATTTCAAAAACTACGAAAGTTATCTTGATGCAATCGCCTTACATGCTTAGTGAATTTGATAGTAACCTTCTTTCATAGTTGAATTTTACTGAATGAGAAATAAAAATTAGGTACATTCGAGTAGTTGTTTTGTATAGTGATAAAAACAGTATGTATAAAGTGCAATGCATGTATAGTTTGTGACAGTTACAAAATTATTTGAGCAAATATAAGCGGGTTACAGAAAGTCTATAAATTTACTCATTGTATGAACCTTGATTAAACTGCTATGGAGGACAACTGGAGATGGATTAAAGAGGCACTAACTTCAAGAAGTCAGGTGCTGAGCCACAACAAGCATCACCATAAAGAATCGCACTGTATCGAAAACCTGGACAAGATTCAAGAGAAGAAGAGCACGAAAACAACAATTAACAGCAGTTGAACAAGAACAGAGAAAGTCAAGACAAACTGAATACACAGAGACAAACAAGCAAGTGAAGAGGAGCATTAGAGCTGACGAGCAGAAATACGTCGAAGGCCCATCAACGACAGCGGAAAAAGCTGATCCAGCGAAGAAATAAGAAGGGAAATATAGCAAACCACAGCACCCAGTCAAGAACAAACGAGGAGGAAAGTCACCGCCGTTCAAGAACTGCGGAACAGGTGAGTAAGACACAAGGAAGAACTCTTGAATAGACCTGACTAATTAAGCCCACAGGATATCGAAGCAGCACACACAGAACTTCCCACAGCTGTCAGACATAGAATTTACTGAAAACATGCTCCTTGTTCTATTCAAGAAGATTTGAGGGAAGGAACAAGTGTCATCAACAGACTGGAAGGTTGGATACCTCATCAGCATACAAAAGAAAGATCTCAGTAAGTGTGAGGACTAAGGAGAATAGGACATACATTGAAGAAATCATCAAACTGCATCACGAGTCAAGTGCTAACTTGGAATCTTGAAAGGGAATGGAAAAGAGGCAGATGAAAGAACACATTTTGATGAGAATTGGAAGAAGACATTAAATGTATGAGTCGAGTTTAGGAAGAACTAGAAGGGAGAGATCATTATAGGGTTGGTTAGAGAATGATAGTGGACGGCCTATGGTTCTCATCGAAGTGTAACAAGAATATCTTGTTGAAGGAACAAAAGTCCAACAAACTAACAGTCCGCACTTCTTATCACCCTAGCAATGTATACTAAGCTTTCAGTTTTAGGTTGTTAATATTGTTGAAATTGTTTGAAATCATTAACCGATTGATGTTAGATCACTGTTGAAAATATGGTCCAACTTAGATCGCCTCATGAGTTCAATGATATACTAAGTTGTAAATGAGAACATTAACTATGAAGTTGAACGAATAATTTTCATATCATGATTGTCTAATCCTCTTCAACATCCTATCCCTAATCTCAATATTTTGATTTACATTTTCACTTAGATATTTCTGAATATATTATACATAAAGTTAGCATAACTAAATGACTTAAGAACTATTGAAATTTCTTGACTTTTGTTTTTTTTCTTCATACTACTAACGACCTTTCATACATTTGAATCACAATAGTTTTGTCAAAGTCCTGTTCTATATAAAAACCCAAAAAGTATTATTTCATGGTGTTAATTTTGTAAATAATATGACAACAAAAGTTGTATAAATTCATAATTGTTATCACATCAAATTTATCTATGAATTTGTCAAATTAAAATATCTTTCATTTATTTATTTCGTATAACCATGTCATTTCATCTCCTATTAATGCACAGACAGTAATCATCGTTTCCTCTGAAAAATTACTCAGCAGGATAGAAATAACTCTTCCAACCGAACATAATCATGTAAATATAAGAATCCGTAACATGAAGACCACTTTTTATATACACATAAATCAAATAGTGTTTTTTATGCCCTAAACACTTTTGATTAAGTGAAATTATGTTTGTCCTACATACACTCTGTTTATATATGTGTAGCTTTTCGTAACTAAAAAAAATCCTCTCCACAGGAGATTTCATAAAGGACAAGATATTTCCGTTTGATTCACAGATTCATCAGGTCATTAAGAATTACGTTTTTTTAAGTAACCTGTAATCCTCATGTTTAACAGTGATAATTAATTCACAGTTTTATCCCCCCTTTGTTTTGATGGTTCATTGTTCCTTCTTGTCTATAATTTTTAAAAGGGCTGGAACGAAAAAAGTGTCACTTCGACTGTTTTACGTTACATCTCGATATATTACATAATTATTAGATTGTACTTATTTGACTTTGTACTAGAAAATGAGGATAAAGTTGAGATTGAAATATACTTATAAAGAGCTTGTGGTACTTTATCAACTGGATGAACAATAGCAGTTAATCAGTTGCTAAGCCAATATGGGATGTTGCCTCATTATATTTATACTACTTTAAAGTAGTTCAGGGAATTTTTTTGAAAAAATGACCTTTTTGATAGTACCTAAGGTTGCGAATAATTTGTACGAAGCTATGATTAAATAACCATATCGGTTAAATGGGTAGCAGACACACACCCATCTGTTGCTCGCAACTCAGTGACATTATGTTGGGGAAATGAATATCTTTAAATTTTCAGTCTAAGTGCTGTTTACGTTCTGAGATAAATCCGGTTTTAATCTCAAAGTTTGAAGATAAACATATTCAGTAGAAAAGAGGACATCAATAAAATCTATTTCATATTGAGTCTGGAATCACTCTTCATAAGTAATTTTCTGCCTGAAATATTAATCACTCAAAATTTTAATAAGATTTACAAAGATCCACAGTCAAACTCGATATTTCAGTTTTTTTGATAGTCAGATTCAAATTTTACTTACCAGCACCACTCAGTTTATGATGAGGAAATATTTGTTTTAGGTGGAGTTTTGTTCTCTGAGCTGGATAGTTTGATGGTGGAGCTTTCACTGTTCTTCCGAACAACATCATCAACACAAACTCCAGGTAGAATGTAGGTAGCTCATAGAACAAAACTCCACTTAGATCATCCACTTGAGCTACAAATTTTCTCTACCATCTTAAAATACTTGTTATTTACAAGAACTTTTTTGTATAATAACTATTTTTTCTAAAAAAGAAGATACTACTCATAATTTACAGCTCTTGAACTTTCTTACACCTTCATTTGGTTTACTCAATTACTTCAATATTATCTGGATTTTCATGAAAAATAACTACATATTCTGCTGAGTTAATAGAATTTTAAACAAATTTTTATCAACTCCTTTCCTATCGAATACCGTTACAGATTAATGCAGAATATAAATTACCTTTATACATGACAATAACATATAATATTCTAACAATTTTAATTTCCACATTTCTATTTTTCCATATTTTTCTATATTTCCACATTTTTAGAAAGTGTTACTCAACGCAATATTTACACGGAAAACCTGAAATTAACATCGGAACACTTGAATTCGAACAGTTTACTGGGTAACTTAGCACTATGGAATTTGTTTTTCGACGGATGTCCTAGTAATTCACTTAGACAAAAAGATTCTACACAACAATATCAAGTCAATAATGATTATTACCGTAATGATGATATATTGATATCTACACAAGACATGGTAGCAGCTAATTCATCAATGAAACCTATTGACTTATCAGTACTGTCAACGAATATGCAACAGTGTGGAACTATTAATAACTTGTCTGTTGACCAGCCACTAACAAAAATTAATGAATCGTTGATTACAAATCCTTATTTAAATTATTACTATAATCCAAAGGATATTTCATCAATATTGAATAAACTGAATAACTTATTGAGCATAAATAATCCTTATATGGAATTAATGCACCAGCCGTCTGTGATAAGTAATTTAAACACGTCACAATCCAAATTTTCTGTGGATCCCACGTTGTTTTCTACCAAAGGTGATATAAACAATAATGACAATCATAATTCGGTAGTTAATGTTTCTCAAGATGGACAATTAAATGCATCACAACCGTGGGTTAAAAAACCTAAATTTTCAATCTTAGAATTAATTAACACACCAAAAAATGTAGTCGACAATTCTACAACTGACCATAGCACCAAAGTTTCTGGTACTAAAAAATCAGGAAATAACACAAGAAATAAGCGTTTCAAGTGTCAGCTATGCAATCACATATTTTCTACACAAACTAGCCTATTAAAACATACAAATAGTTTGCATACTACTCAATATTTGAGGCAGGCAAATTCACCGGGTGTTCCTTTAACTTCATCATCAGTAAATGTAACAGAAAGTAATGAACTAGTGATTCATGACAATAAAAACGGGAAAGCATATCAAAATGTGTATGGTTTGAATAGATCACGAAATGTTTTGCCAAATGCTGGTGGTAACTCATCAATAGGACTTAGTGTTATTTCTTCGAACTCTAGGAGTAGAAACAAGGATTGTTGTAATAGTGACTATTCAAGTCAAATGAATCCTATGATGACCCCAACAACAACAGTGACATCTGTACCAGATCATCATTATGCACATCCATATTTCTGCCATTTGTGTAATAAAGTATACTATTCAATGTCTGCATTGAAAATGCATGTACGTACGCATACATTACCATGTAAATGTAATTTATGCGGCAAAGCATTTTCACGGATGTGGCTATTAAACGGACATTTAAGAACTCATACGGGTGAAAAGCCATTTGCATGCATGATATGCACCAGAGCATTTGCTGATAGATCCAATTTAAGAGCACATATGCAAACACATTCTGAAGTAAAACGTTATCAATGTCTACATTGTGATAGGACATTTTCGCGCATGGGTCTATTAACTAAACACCAAACCACTTCATGTCTCCAACAAATGAAAAAATCAACAAAATCACGAAATATTAATAAAACTACTGAATATATATTTGACAATAAAATTGTACCTGAATCGAAAAAATTAAGACATGTTCATTGAAAAAAAAGAAAAATGTGAAACAAATCACTCAGTGCAATATTTATTACTTCTTCACTATTTGTTTTATCATATATTTAAAAGTCGAAATTGAGTAAAAAGAAACGTCATTATGATAATTTTGTGGAAACTGTTTATTCTTTTCTGAGACTTCTACCTATAGAGGTTCCTATTCGAAGTGCATATGAAAGGAACACAAATTAATGAAAAGTAACATTCAGTAAATGTGATAAAGAAATTCAATATTAGGTAAATAAATTTAGATGTTTTGTGGGGAGAAGTCAATCAGTCAACAACGTAGAATTTCGTACGTACGTATATCAGTCCGAGTTGCCACACCACATTAGCACAGAGATGCAGTTGTCGATTCAAATCCCGTAATGGTAGAGGTAGTAAAAGTATAAGCAGTAATCGGAAAGATTAGGGTTCGAAGATATTATTTAAGGAGTATAATCCAGTGAAATAAATTTGGAAAGAGAAGTAAGGGGACATGAAGAATTCAGAAGATTAGAATTAGGGAAAACACAAAGAGTGGATGCAGCTGCGCCATGTCAATCAAGGTCTCTAACCATCGTTTGCTATCGTCTCGCGGATCCCAACCATTTTGTCTACACCTACCAACATGACTCAGCCCACTTGTTAATGACTTCATGGATCTATGTCAAGTTTGTGGGAAGAAGGATAAGTACAGAAGATTTTTTGGTGTAGCAATTAAGCTAAGTCACATATAACAATCAATTGTAGTTAGAATAAGTAAAACCAAGTATAACCTTTAACTAGGCGGTAAACTTAGCATGAAAATAGACACGAAAGAAATGTTCCCTAAGGATATCGGTCAGAATCTCGTACAGCAGCTCATCTGTATCATAGAAATCATCACGTTACCATATCATTCTGACCAATATTCTATCAAGATAATTATACATTGATGAGTTGTTCCATTTCTTTAATTCCCATCGCATGAAATTTATAGAAATGCATTCTTATCAAAATCATAATGGAATATTTGAGAAGTCAACGAAAGATCACGTGTTGGGTAATTAGAGCTAAACTATGATCTATAAACACGATGTTTTTAGTGTAACTTTGTTATTAATATACTATATTTCAATTGAGAAATTATACCTTTATTGTAGTTATTTGAGTACATATAAGATGCACTTTAACTTTAATGTTGTATATTGCATCATTATGGAACCACAACCACTTTGTGAATGAAGACCATGGATTCACGACCTTCCTATCATCAGTTAAAGCTGTTTAATGAAATAACATTTAATTTAGTGACTCGATATCAACACACCACCTGTCCTGATATAAAATTACTTACGCCTGTGACTCCCAACGGAGCACAAGCCGCCGACCAGCATTCTCCAACCCACTCTGTCCTGGACCTTCTTTTCTAGTTCCATCCAATTCTCGTTCATTTTTCTCATGTCTATTTCCATTTCCCGGCGTAATGTGTTCGTTGGTCTTCCTCTTTTCGTTTGGCCTTGAGGATTCCAAGTGAGAGCTTGCCATGTGACGCAGTTGGGTGCTTTCCTCAATGTGTGTCCTATTCACTTCCAGCGCTTCTTCCTGATTTCTTCCTCCACTAGGATCTGGTTTGTTCTCTCCCACAGTAGGTTGTTGCGATAGTGTCTGACCAACGGATCCGAAGTATTTTGCGTAGGCAACTGTAAATAAACACTTGTGTCTTCTGGTTGATGGCTTTCGTGGTTCTCCAAGTTTCCGCCCCATACAATAGAACTGTCTTGACATTTGTATTGAAAATCCTGACCTTGGTGTTGGTTGACAGTTGTTTTGAGATCCATATGTTCTTCAGTTGTAAATATGCTGCTCTTGCTTTTCCGATCCGCGCCTTCACACCTGCATCAGATACACCGTGTTCATTAATGATGCTGCCCAGATATTTAAAGGTTTTTACATCTTCCAAAGCCTCTCCATCAAGTGTGATTCGATTGGTGCATGTTGTGTTGTATCGGAGAACCTTGCTTTTCCCTTTATGTATGTTTAGACCTACTGCTGCTGCTACACTGGTCGTCTTCTCCTGCATTTGTTGTTGCGTTTGTGATAGAAGAGCCAGATCTTCTGCGAAATCTAGATCGTTCAGCTGCATCCTAACTGTCCATTGTATCCCGTGCTTCCCCCAGATGTTGACATCTTCATAATCCAGTCGATCACCAGATTTAAGTTTAACAATTAAAATTAACCTAAATAAACCGCATTCAATTGACTTTTTTTATGAAAAGACATTATACGAAAACAAACAAGTTTAACCACACAAAGCACCAATTGAAATTATAACTTCAATTTTCTTAGTTAACTACCAGCATTTATCATTAAACTGATTGGTTCCTGGTAATATTACCCATGAACGTAGTTTTCACAATAGATTAACATCAACTGAAGAATCCCTGTAAACTTATCAAACATTAAATAGTTGTTTTATTTCTAAATAGAACTTCTCAACAGTGTTCATTATCGATTCCATGGGAACTAGTTCAAGAATATTAAGTCTCACATGTTACTGTTACTTGAGTAATTAAACCAAGTCCTGATTAGCTTCAGTCAGATATATTCGAAACGATAAATGACAAGCATTTACAATAATTCCTCGTTTTCAAGTTTGCGATGGGGAACACATTTAATCATCTTAGCATAAAACATATAAATGAATAATAATACAATTTATTAATAGCTTGCTGTAAAGTGGGTGCCAAAACGTCCTAATAGGCATCCTTACCGCTATTATTTACTTAAGTCGGTTACACCTCGTAAAGCATAGTCTGCCATCAGGATTCTCTAAACAACCCTGTCCTGAGCTATCCTTCTCTCTTTTCATTTCCCATTCAAGTTAGAGCTTGACTCGTGATGCAGTTTGATGATTTCTTCAGTGTATGTCCTATCCACCTCCAACATATTCTCCTAATTTCTTCTTCAGTTGGAAGCTGATTTGTTCTCCACACACTAGGCTGTTGCTGATGGTATCCGATTAACAGACATTAAGTATGATGATGGCTGTAGTAGTTCTCCACGTTTCAGCTCCATACAACAGAACTGTCTTCACGTTTGTATTGAACATTCTGATTTTGATATTGATTGACAGTGGTTTTGAGCTCCCTATGTTCTTCAATTGTAGGAATGCTTTGCTTGCTTTGCCATTCCTTGTGTTTACGTCTGCATTAGATCCTCCTTATTCATCGATGATGCTGACCAGATACGTGAAAGTTTCCACATCTGCTCTATCCAGTGTGATTGTGTTGGTGTTCTCCATGTTGTATTTGAGGATGCTGCTTTTTCCCTCGTGTATGTTGAGGCCTACTGATGAAGAGTCTGCTGCTGCACTAGTTGTCTTCATCTGCCTTTCTTGGTGTGAATGGGATATGAGAGCTAAGTCATCTGCAAATTCCAAGTCATCTATTTGCATCCCAGTTTTCCACTGTATTCCATGCCTCCCCTCAGATGTGGAGGTCCTCATAATCCAGTCAACCATCAAAAGAAAGAATGAGAGTAAATAATTTTGTATGACATCAGTCTTCTCCTGGAGTGCATCTGTCATTCATGAACGACTTTGCTGTGTAGTCCATCATATGAATTCCATAAGATGCTGACGATCTTATCAAGTGTACCATGGCGTCTGAGCAAAGTCCACAAGGTTCTCCTATCTAAGTTGTCAAACGCTTTCTCATAGTCAGTCATATTGATGTATAGTGACGAGTTTCACCCAACTGATTGCTCAACAATGATCAGTGATTTGGTCGGTAATGCGACCGATCTTTAAGGAGTCTGACCCATCGATTTCGAGTCTGGGAGTCAACTCGATTTTTCATGTGGTTCAACAACATTCTGTTGAAAACTTTTCTAAGCATTGATAGTAGTATGATGCCTCCTTAGTTCTCACACTTACTGGATCCCCTTTCTTTCGTATCCTGATGAGGTGTCCTTCTTTCCAATCTGTTGGTGACACATGATCCTCCACCCCAAACTGACTGGTTGCAGCTATTTAGATCCTCGAGGATGCTGTTGAGTTTGATATTTTTGCTCAGACGATAAAAGCATAACTGAAATATCTTTCATGCATAATTTATTTATTTAAACAGATAAACATTAGTACAAGAAGGCACAAAATATATTTGTGCCACATAAACCATTCATTTTGTGAGGGCTGGGATACTCCTCGGGTGCCCAAACCGAAGTAGGTGGTTTTCTAAGGGGGCCATACCCGGAGTCTTTAACCAAAAATTCTAATCCACAAGCCAGTAGAGCAACTTTAGCGGGAGCAACCATATGGTAGCCGGTGACCAATAATAGGTTCACACGCCATTTGTTTCCTTAGGATCGTGGAGCCCATGTGCACCATTGGTCTGAAATCAGTGTTCCCAACTCACCTGTGTGGGTCCTCCGTATCTACCAACTCGGTAAAAGCTCCGGACATTCGCTTTTCATCCTCTCAATTTCGTAAACACCATCCCCGCCGGGGGAAGGTATAGAGTAAAACTTCCCTGGCAATGGATGTATGCACATGGCCATGTGAGAGCATTTCGAGAGGGAGAGCTGACTCTCCCCACTCTTAGCCGTACCAGGGCTGCCATTTGTGGGTTTAGGTGCAGCGTTTCCCACACCAGACCATGAAATACTTGGCTAGAAGTGAGGCGAGTGATGACCCCATAGATACACTATCATTTCGTCCCTAAAATTCATCAAATTTAAGCCGCTTCTTGTAAGTGGAATGTTCAGCCAAAGTAGCCAAGCTAAGAATATATTTAAGGTACAACTAGAAAAACAGTTAGGCAACCATGTAAGTGATGCCCACCCCGAAGCAGAGTGCAATGATATCCGAAAAGCTGTGGAAACAGCAGTGATATCTGCTAGTACGGTAAACCACAAGGTTAGGGAGGAACACTGGATCCCAGCAGCATCTACCGCACTGATAGATGCTCGAAAACTCATCCCATCTGGCTTTGAACATGACGATGAGCGGAGTCAGCTTAAGCGCAGGCTAAGAAGTCTACGCAATGGTCGCAAACAGTGGTGGGTAGCGAAAGCAAGGGACGGGAAAGGCAGAGGTAATAGGCAATAACAGACGACTGTTCAGACTTGTCAAGGAAACTGGTACTAGGAACTTAAATGTTAGCGAAACTATCTTGGGAAAAGTTGGACATATTATTCACTCTCAATCCAGGAGATTGGATAGGTGGGCAGAACAATTTAGGGATCGGTTGAACTGCCCTTCAGCCACACTTTGGTTTCCCATGATCTCCATTCGACTTGAATGGCAAGTTGATGTAAGTCCTCCAACTCTTTACGAAGTTGAAAAAGCTATGGAGAATCTGAAGCGTGGGAGAGCAGCGAACACTGACAGGTTCACCCCTGAGATTTTTAAGGATAGTGATCCAGTATTAGAAATGAGGTTGACTGAGGTCTTAGGTAGAATCTGGAAACCGGACGTAATCCCATCTGACTGGTCTCAATCACTGATTGTGCCAGTCCAGAAGAAAGGAAGAAAGAAAAAGAAAGTCCTCTTGTGACAGTCTTAAAGGAACCAGTTTGACTAATAGTGTCTAAAATATTAGCTTCAATAATACATCAACGCCTAACTAAAGCTCGTGAAGAGCAGATTAGAGAAAACCAGGCTGCTTTTTGACCTGGACGTGGTTGTATAGATCAGATATTCACACTACGTCAGGTTCTAGAACACAGACACACATTCAGACGCCCCACAATGGTAGTATTTCTCGACCTTAAGGCGGCATTTGACTCTGTTGATCGTGAGGTTCTATGGCAGTGTTTGTCACTGAAAGGAGTACCAAAGAAGTACATTAACCTTATAAAGGCTCTCTACTCGAACACAACTGGTAGAGTAAGAGCTTATGGCGAACTGTCATCAGAATTGATTACCTCAAGTGATGTTCGTCAGGGCTGTCCACTCTCTCCTTTCTTGTTTAACTGTCGTTGACGTGCTTTCAGAGATAACACATTCCTCAACTAAACTTCCAGGAGTTGAACTTTTACCGGGAGATTCACTTGTTGACTTAGAATATGCCGATGACATAGTTTTATTTGGTGAGGACGCTGACAAAATGCAGTCTTCTGACCACCGTAAGCAACAATAAAAGCATGTTCGGGATGCGAGTCTCCCCCTCGAAATGCAAAATGTTGCTTCAGGATTGGGTTGCATCGACACCCGAACTAATAATAGGGAGTGAAGTAATTGAGCGTGTTGACCGCTTCACTTATCTTGAGAGTCTCATCAGCCCTTGTAGTCCGGTGTGTGACGAAATCTCAGCACGGATACAGAAGGCTCGACTAGCTTTTGCCAACTTGCGTCATTTATGGCGTAGGCGAGATATCCGTCTATCAACCAAAGGACGTGTTTACTGCGCAGCAGTTCGTTCCGTCCTACTTTATGGCAGTGAAACATGGCCGGTAAGAGTAGAGGACATTCGTAAGTTACTATTATTCGATCATATATATCTTCGAAGCATTGCTCATATATCCTGGGACCACCGAGTAACTCAGTTGTTAGGAAACGGGTACTAGGTAAGGATGGCAAATCAATTGATGAAGTAGTGAAACTTCATCAGTTGAGATGGCTGGGACACATGTTACGTATGCCCAACCACCAAATGCCCCGACGTGCGATGTTTTATGGTATAGGAGTAGGTTGGAAGAAAGCTATGGTCGGCCAGACCAAAACATGGCACAAATCCATGAAGTCATTAACAAGTGGGCTGAGTCATGTTGGTAGGTGTGGACAAAATGGTTGGGATCCGCGAGACGATAGCAAACGATGGTTAGAGACCTTGATTGACATGGCGCAGGTGCATCCACTCTTTGTGTTTTCCCAAATTCTAATCTTCTGAATTCTTCATGTCCCCTTACTTCTCTTTCCAAATTTATTTCACTGGATTATACTCCTTAAATAATATCTTCGAACCCTAATCTTTCCGATTACTGCTTATACTTTTACTACCTCTACCATTACGGGATTTGAATCGACAACTGCATCTCTGTGCTAATGTGGTGTGGCAACTCGGACTGATATACGTACGTACGAAATTCTACGTTGTTACTGACTGACTTAGCCAAAGTAGTGTGTTAACTTATCAGATAACAAATAATTAACCAAATATGGAGATGGAAGTAACAATGCTATTAGTGCTGCTTCAAATCTCCCGCCGTAACAGTGGCCATACAATTTTTGTATTGGTTGGTCGAATGTTTTCATTGATATTTAGGACTGCAATTGACCAGTCGATTACTGGCATATGCCCATCCTGTGCGGATTGCCTAAATTTGAGTCCCAGAGTGTACATTTACTCCGAGATGTAGGTGCACCCAGCTCACGAGCCACAAATAGGGCGAAACCTGAGTCCTGGACTCCACTGCTAGCTACCATCCATCTCTGCTTATGGTGGTCACAACAATTAGGCAAACGAGTGGTTGGTAAAATCCCAGTCCCCATGAATACATGTTAATAATTACTGATATTGTTTCTGGATAAAAGCTGGAAGTTATCAGCATAATTACATGCAAGTTTAAAAATCGCATCTGCTCTTCTTTTTCCTGCCAGTTTCACAGAAATTCCACCTAATTACTCACTTCTACCCACACATAAACTATCCTAATGAAAATGTTGAAGTCTTTAGTTCTACTATATCATAGAATTTTTCTCGCTTATAAAACCAAATAAAGCGAAAACAATCATAGTAGAATAATATGAATCCATTTATTTCATGAATTCTCGTCAGTTGCTTACAACCTAGAAACAATAGTAGTTACTGTAAAACTGATGTACAAACTGTATAGTATATTAATGAAGAAGGCACAAATATTAGAAAAATTATGTTCCAGAGTTAAACATTTATATGTTAAGTCGTGTGAACACTTTCAAAATCTTTTAAGTCACATGAAGATAAATTTCTGTACAGTGAAAATTAATGTCAAAAAGTACTCACTAACAACTATATAAATGGACAGATCAAAGGAGGAAAGCTAAAAAAATGCAAGAATGAAAGAATTTATAACTGAGAGCGTGGAACAGGACGCTACGTAATTGACTGACATATTTCTTTGACCAATTTATATAATGAAAGGAGGGGAATCCCATGACAACAACCGATCCTTATTACGATATAGGGATATATTTCAAGATCGGATAAGGTCAACTGAATTCGAATAGATGAGTATCAGGAACAATGGATTTACTTGATGACCACTTAATAATCATTTGTTAGCAAAATAATAGAATACTAACTTGAGATGACGGTGAAAATGTAATATTCACCTGGAACTACGTTTTCTTCCTAAAGGACGCTGGGAATATCGAGCAGTCAAAGATTAAGGACTTTACAAACTGAGTCAGGCTAACACTTTTAAGTTTCTTTTGTAGAATCGCACCCCACATTTGAAGAACTAAAGTGACTAGACGTTTAGGTTTGCTAAACAATACAATGTGCTATTAACACAACTAGCTTAAGCAAATGACCTGGTACGGCCGAGGGTTGGAAGAGTCCACCCCCTCTTTTTGAAACGCTGTCATACGGCCACATGTATATATCCGTTGGCAGGGGAGTCCTATTCACCGCCTTCTCGTGTTTAGGAAATTGAGAGGATGAAAAGCTAATGTCCGGCGCTTAAACCGGATTGATGGATATAAAAGATCCAACTACGGGCGTCGAGAAACCCCGATTCTAAGCCAATGGTGAACATGTACTCCAAGATCCTGAGGGAGAAAATGGCGTATGAACCTATTCTTCGTCACCGACCACCACAGGACCGCATCCCCTAACCTTGCTACGCTGGCTTGTGGATTAGACCTCTAGGTCAAAAAGTAAGGGAGTGGTCCTCCTAAGAAAACTAACTGCTTCGCTTCGGGGACCCGGTAAGTATTCCAACCCATACATAAATTAAATGATTTGTGTGGCGAATATATATTCTGGTGCCCTTTTGTACAAACCTTTATGTGTTCAAATAAATAACTACTAATAATAAGCTAATTAAGCTTAGGTATAAAAATAATTCAGTTACCTACTACTGAACAGAATCACTCAAAATCTCCTGCAGAACCTGAAATGAACAGCAGTATTTCTGATCTTAGATTAAAAACAACAAGTGGATTAATAATGTTTGTCGGATGATTGATATAAATATCGAAATCAAGCATAATAGTTTTTTGGTAATGTTAAACCAATCCTACAGTCATCCACTTGATAACTAATTCACTTTTCTCATTGGTAATCAAGATCTGTCAGTTTTGTAGTTTTCTTCACACAGGCCAAGCAACTTCTAATTATGGAAGCTCTCTTATCAAGAGATACCTATCTTCGTCACCAACTATTCAATCCAGTTTCCAAAACGCTCCGTTCAAAAAATAAAAGAAACAATTAGTGGGGATATATTTGCACAATATGATAAGCATTCCAATGATAAACTACAAATTTGCAAGATCCTGTTATGTGCTGAAGAAAAGGAAGAAAATGTAGTAACTTTAATACAAAAACCGGAAACAGGTTTTTTCAAAATGTATATGGTTTATTTTACATCCATAATCTTCTAGCAGACGTCTTCATACGTTAGTGCTATTAATAAGCAGAGTATTGTACATAAGTTGGTTTGTGAACAGTGGTTTTAAAAAACTATTTTCATGAAGATGAACTGAACTCTTCTGCGACTGCACATGCAGCGCTATAGACAACATGATTCAACCCAACGCCATCGTACGAATTACCAACAAGATATATACCACTTCGGCTAGAACTATGGCCATTCGAAATTCCCCGAATGCCGTTGCGCAAATTAGCCATATTAGTTAAATGACCTGGAGGATACTGGGGAATACAGTTACGGAGAATACTAATATGACGACCAACAATGACCGGAGCCGGTATTTTAAGATGGTTTATAAGGACGGTTTTCGCAACTTCTTCAATGGTGTTTTTCAGGTGTTCCGAGGAACCTAAACTTGTGGAGGCTTCGAGCCATTCACGAAATGGTTTCATCATTACTGTATATCGTAAATTTTTATTAAATCCATCCAATTTCGGGAACGCAAAGGAATCGTATATTACACCCAAAATATGTTCATCTTCCGTACGCGGTACTAAGTGCCCAAACCCACGTACTAAGGGAGTAAAGGAGTCATCTATTTCTAAGACAGCGCTGACAATACTTCCCCATGGAATAGAGTTGGGTTTCAGATAGCTTAGAGTTTCAGTAGCCAGTATGTTTTCCAAAATGCTTGCTGTAATGAAGGATGGGCAGCAAAAAAAGACTATATCGGCTGTATTTTTTTCTTTGTCGTTACCATTATCACCGATGACCTTGTATGTATACTCAAAGCAGCCATTTAGAGATTTTAATTTTTCAACGGAAGAGTTTAACTTCAAATCGATGTGTGGATGTTTCCTACTTAAATGGTCTACAATAGTGTTAATCAGTGTCTCCAATCCACCTGATAAAGTCCAGGCAATCGCATCAGATGGAATCAAGTTATTCAGTTGCGGGAGTTTGTCGTCAATCATATTTGGTATAACGATACGATCTAAAGATCGGTTTATCGATGAAAGTAGAATCCCGAGAATAAGATTCGGTCCATATTCTTCCGACTTCACCATCTGAAAGAATACATAATAAGATGATGTCATAAACATTGAACCAAAAAAGACAAATGGAAGCATTAAAAACTCGTAACCTGGTAAGCTAATGTTGGGTCGGCTTCCGGAGAACTTCAACGGAGCCTCCAGAGGCCCACAAAGAGCCGAAGAGTCCTGGCCAATCAGAGTGTGATGGAACGTTCTAGAATTCCAACGTGGCGTGCTACTATTGGTCGGTAGCATAATGTGTTGTTATCGGATTGGCTGTAAAATGATGTTGATTTAACAGACGCCAAAACCTATAAATACCCATGATTTTCTGTACAAAAATGAACCTTGGAATAAAGTGCTCTCTCTCATTCTTGTGTCTTCTCTCTGGAGTTCAAGTCGCTGTGTAGTTCTAGACTGCGGGTTATCGGAATAGCTTAGGAATCGTATAGCGTTCAACCTACACGACTTATCAACTAATGATTGCGACGACCTACGCAAATACCTGGAGATTAAGCCTCATCAGGTAACCGTCTCAACCACAACTAAGCTGAAAAGAACATTTTACATGAAGGATAATGTCGATTAATATTTCTTCTACATACAACATACACAGGTATTCAAGCTTCCTAAAATTGGTCAATGATTTCCATAATGGGAAAGTGAATAGTAATGAAAACGCTCAAAAAATAAACCTGTTTCAAAATTACGTCGAAGTAACTTAATAGCACTCCTAGAAATTGCTTTACTCAAAGCTTACAGGATGCTAAAAAAATTAATGCACTTTCAGAAAACAGTTGTTATGAAAGCAAATTAAATTATCTATTAACCTGTTAAATGTGTATGCTTTGAAAGACTCTAAAATATCTCTGAAAAATCAAGTGATTCTGAACCTGCCATTTTTTCAGGCCAATAATCTCGACCATCATATTTTTTAGTAGATGCGATAGATGAAAATGAGAATACGCTACAAAACTTGCAGGATATGTTAGAACTAAACTGTCATAATTGTATTCTTGAAATTATTGTCATCTTAACAAACAGGTAACTTACCGTAGGCAAACAAGCACGAGCACTAAGGTTTCGTGAATCACCAGCAAAGATACCTCTCATCAGAGCACTGCCAAAGTAGTCAGCGAATTCGGAATCAAAACGAGAGCGAAGGAATTCATCAACAGTCCAGTCTGACTGAGATGGTGGGCGTCGAGAAAATAACCGTCTGATGATTAAACTACAGTTGGACCTAGTGAATGGTTCTAAAGTGGAAAAATTGAACGCAGACAGTGGCAACAGTTGGCCATTTATATAGATTAATCGTTTCGCTTCATCTGTACCCTGTCTCATCCATACAAGTGAGTTTTCGAGATGCAAACTTTTCACTATTCTCATCAAAAGACCTGATGTGGCAGATTTTGCACGAGCGCTATGTGGACCAATTTCATAGATTGATCCAGTATCCATATTCTTAACTGATTGAATCCAACCACCCCACCTACTGCTACTCTCCAAAACTGTTAGACGGTAACTCCCCAATGGTCGGGTTAACGAGATGAGGTAAGAAGTAACTAAACCGGACAAACCACCACCGACAATCAAGTAATGAGGAATACACATTGGAAATTGTTTTTAGCGCCACAGGTATAATTTCTATTATGTTGACTGATTATATACACAGAAATTTGTTTCGTGATCAGAAAACAGATGACGGATAATGTAGTTTTGTTAGAAGTTCAGTTTGTTGGGTTATCTGAAATGCAAGAATATTATGGGAAAGGGAGAATTAATATGTAACTTTTAGTCTTAAAGAACCAATTGAGAATGACCTCCGAAATTCGTGCGCCCTAGGAGCTTTATGGGTAGTACCGAGCAAATCAGGTGACAAGCATTATCCATAAATAAATGAACGAACGAGTACTTGGTATACTTGTTCGACAAAAGTGAATTTCCACAACAATTTGGTTTATTGTTTGACTCACTTTTGACATTTCAGCTTAAATGAACTTGATATTTTGTCCAATTAATTGTGTAAGTGCGCCCCTCGAAGCAAACCTCATATGTCCAGAAATGTTACAGAACCTAAAAGTTCCCATTTGTACCTGGTCAGTCAGTCAGTAACAACGTAGAATTTCGTACGTACGTATATCAGTCCGAGTTGCCACACCACATTAGCACAGAGATGCAGTTGTCGATTCAAATCCCGTAATGGTAGAGGTAGTAAAAGTATAAGCAGTAATCGGAAAGATTAGGGTTCGAAGATATTATTTAAGGAGTATAATCCAGTGAAATAAATTTGGAAAGAGAAGTAAGGGGACATGAAGAATTCAGAAGATTAGAATTTGGGAAAACACAAAGAGTGGATGCACCTGCGCCATGTCAATCAAGGTCTCTAACCATCGTTTGCTATCGTCTCGCGGATCCCAACCATTTTGTCCACACCTACCAACATGACTCAGCCCACTTGTTAATGACTTCATGGATTTGTGCCATGTTTTGGTCTGGCCGACCATAGCTTTCTTCCAACCTACTCCTATACCATAAAACATCGCACGTCGGGGCATTTGGTGGTTGGGCATACGTAACATGTGTCCCAGCCATCTCAACTGATGAAGTTTCACTACTTCATCAATTGATTTGCCATCCTTACCTAGTACCCGTTTCCTAACAACTGAGTTACTCGGTGGTCCCAGGATATATGAGCAATGCTTCGAAGATATATATGATCGAATAATAGTAACTTACGAATGTCCTCTACTCTTACCGGCCATGTTTCACTGCCATAAAGTAGGACGGAACGAACTGCTGCGCAGTAAACACGTCCTTTGGTTGATAGACGGATATCTCGCCTACGCCATAAATGACGCAAGTTGGCAAAAGCTAGTCGAGCCTTCTGTATCCGTGCTGAGATTTCGTCACACACCGGACTACAAGGGCTGATGAGACTCTCAAGATAAGTGAAGCGGTCAACACGCTCAATTACTTCACTCCCTATTATTAGTTCGGGTGTCGATGCAACCCAATCCTGAAGCAACATTTGTACCTGCTGATAACCAACTATAAAGTAAGACATTTGTTTATTGAAATCACAACACATACAGTAGGGTACGACTTATACAAGCAAGTAAATAATCAATTTATTGATAGGGTTCAATAAAATGATGAATGTTTAGGGATACGTATGTGTTAGGTGGATTGGTGATTAAAGTACTGAACTCAACAAATGAGTTTCAGCCTCGGGTACAGTTTTAATTTTTCTGATATAACCGAACAGTGTCACCGACTTTTATACAAAAGTGACGCTCAAAATCGACTTGACGTGTACTTAGCGAATGGGTTGCATTGCATTTTACACGTGTGCGAAAACTTTGAATGAACTGAAATACAAGTTTACGGTTGGAAATGAGGATGAGTAAGTTAAACCTATGTCAACACAACTATTGATCATAAAAATGTAGCTATTATAAACATATTGCATAAAACAAAAGCTAGACTGAAAGCGATAAAATATATGTTTAGCTAAAAACAAAGAAGGGTTGTGTCTTAAACCTCTAGCCAACAGAGATCAATGAAACTACCTGGAAATAACTATATCAGGACCTGGGATATTATTCCAACTCCGCCTGTAGCTCTAACAGGGTTACTGCCGGTCCCAAGCCCGGATAAAGGAGGAGGGTTGGGCATGGGGTTAGCGTCCCCATCCCGTAGAAAACTAACTCGCTAAAAAAACGCTTACCAGAAAAAATAATCCAAACCATTTAAACTCTGCCCTGGGAGTTAGAAGGTCTTCAGTTAGAAGAATTATGACGCTTCATGGTGAAAGCCGAGTTCCTTCGGAAGCCACGAGGCCGATGCCCCTTCTAACAACCAGAGCAAAAATTTTTATAGGTACATGGAACGTTCGAACAATGTGGGAAACCGGGAAGACCAGTCAAATAGCAATGGAAATGAGGAGATACAACTTAGCAGTACTGGGAATCAGCGAAACCCACTGGACCCAAGCTGGACAGAAAAGGCTAGCTACGGGAGAGATGCTGCTATACTCCGGTCACGAAGAGGAAAATGCTCCACACACTCAGGGAGTCGCTCTTATGCTGTCCAAAGTAGCACGAAATGCACTTGTAGGATGGGAGTCTCACGGATCCAGAATCATCAAAGCATCATTCAAAACAAAGAAGGAGGGGATCTTAATGAATATTATCCAATGTTATGCACCCACCAATGATAGCAACGACGACATTAAAGATCAGTTCTACGAGCGGCTGCAGTCAATCATTGAGAAATGCCAAGAAAGGACCTAACTATTCTGATGGGAGATCTAAATGCCAAAGTCGGAATAGACAACACTGGATATGAAGATATTATGGGACGACATGGACTGGGAGAAAGAAACGAAAATGGAGAAAGATTTGCAAATCTATGTGCATTCAACAAATTGGTCATAGGAGGCACAATATTTCCACACAAGCGTATACACAAGGCTACATGGATCTCACCGGACCACACTACAGAGAACCAAATAGATCATATTTGCATCAACAAAAAATTCCGAAGGACAATGGAAGATGTGAGAACCAGGAGAGGTGCTGACGTAGCTTCAGATCACCACCTAGTTGTAGCCAATTTAAAACTGAAGCTAAAAAGAACTGGACAAGTGGACAAACAGCACTACAAAGGTTCAATACAGCCTTCCTTCGAGATACTGACAAACTCAATGAATTCAAGATAGCTCTCAACAACAGGTTCCAAGCCTTACAAGATCTACTGAAAGAAGAAGAAACTACTATGGAGGACAACTGGAAAGGCATCAAGGAAGCATTAACTTCAACGTGTCAAGAGGTTCTGGGCCTAAAGAAACACCATCATAAGGAATGGATCTCTATAGAAACACTGGACAAGATCAAAGAAAGGAAGAACAAGAAGGCAGCAATTAACAACAGCCGAACACGAGCAGAGAAAGTCCAAGCACAAGCTGAATACATAGAAGCAAACAAACAAGTGAAGAGGAGCATTAGAGCCGACAAGAAGAAATACGTGGAAGAACTAGCAACGACGGCAGAAAAAGCTGCTAGAGAAGGAAATATGAAACAGCTTCACGATACAACGAAGAAACTAGCAGGGAAATACAGTAAACCAGAGAGGCCGGTCAAAGACAAAGAAGGCAAGCCAATCACCGAAATTCAACAACAGCGTAACAGATGGGTAGAATACTTCGAGGAACTCCTGAATAGGCCGGCTCCAATGAATCCACCGGACATCGAAGCAGCACACATAGATCTTCCTATAGATGTCAACCCACCAACGACGGAAGAAATTAGAATGGCCGTCAGACAAATCAAGAACGGGAAAGCAGCAGGACCCGACAACATACCAGCTGAAGCACTGAAATCAGACATCGAAGCAACCACAAGCATGCTTACCTTCTATTCAAAAAGATTTGGGAGGAGGAACAAGTGCCGATGGACTGGAAAGAAGGACACCTCGTCAAGATTCCAAAGAAAGGAGATCTGAGCAAATGTGAAAACTACAGAGGCATTACACTACTGTCAATACCAGGGAAAGTCTTCAACAGAGTGTTGCTGAACCGGATGAAGGATGCAGTAGACGCCCAACTTCGAGATCAACAAGCTGGATTCCGTAAGGATCGGTCGTGCACAGACCAAATTGCAACACTACGGATCATCGTCGAACAATCAGTTGAGTGGAACTCATCACTATACATCAACTTCATTGATTATGAAAAGGCATTCGACAGTGTAGATAGGAGGACATTATGGAAACTTCTTCGACACTACGGAGTTCCTGAGAAGATTGTCAACATTATCCGGAACTCATACGACGGACTACAGTGCAAAGTAGTGCATGGAGGACAGCTGACAGATGCATTCCAAGTAAGGACTGGAGTCAGACAAGGCTGTTTACTCTCTCCCTTCCTCTTTCTTCTGGTGGTCGACTGGATTATGAAGACCTCAACATCTGAAGGAAAACACGGAATACAATGGACAGCTCAGAATCAATTAGACGATTTGGACTTCGCAGACGACCTAGCCCTCCTATCACGTACACACGAACAGATGCAGATGAAGACAGCCAGTGTAGCAGCAGTCTCTGCATCAGTAGGCCTCAGCATACACAAAGGGAAAACCAAGGTCCTCAAATTCAAGCGGAGAACAGCAATCCAATCACTCTTGATGGCGAAACTCTGGAAGATGTAGAGTCCTTCACATACCTAGGAAGCATCATCGATGAACAAGGAGGTTCAGATGCAGACGTAAAGGCGAGGATCGGCAAAGCAAGGGTCGCATTCCTACAATTGAAGAACATATGGAACTCAAAACAACTTTCAACCAATATCAAAGTGAGAATCTTCAATACGAACGTCAAGGCAGTTCTACTGTATGGAGCTGAAACTTGGAGAACTACAACAACCACAATCAAGAAAGTACAAGTATTTATAAATAGCTGCCTACGCAAGATACTCAACATCCACTGGCCGGATACCATCAGCAATAGCCTTCTGTGGGAGAGAACAAACCAACTTCCAGCTGAAGAAGAAATTAGGAAAAGACGATGGAAATGGATAGGACATACATTACGCAAATCGTCAAACTGCATCACGAGGCAAGCCCTAACTTGGAACCCTGAAGGGAAGCGAAAAAGAGGAAGGCCAAAGAACACATTGCGTCGGATAATAGAAGCAGATATGAAAAGGATGAATTACAACTGGACGGAGCTGGAAAGGATTGCCCAGGACAGGGTTGGATGGAGAATGCTGGTGAGTGGCCTATGCTCCTTCACGAGGAGTAACAGGCGTAAGTAAGTAAGTAAGGGATATTATTCCAACTCAACAAATCTTTACAAGCTATAGCTATATTGAATATGGAACGAACTTACATAAAACTTAATGATTAATTTCAAAATCCCGGATAAAATGATACGTAAAATAAAGTGAGCGTGACGTTCATTCATACAAGTAATATGCGAGTTATGATATCGAGTGAAATTGTAACTTTAATGCAGAATTTCATGACATTTACATGTTGGTATTCTCATAAACAGAATGCTGAGAAATCTGTTTCAAATACAAATTTTTCTTTTATATATATATATATATATATATATATATATATATATATATATATATATATATATATATATATATATATATAAATTACGAATGTCTGAAATATGTTATTCGTAAGATGAGGGTTGATATTGTGTTCTGAAATCAACGAGCAGGGATAGGTGAGAAGCTACTATTATTAAGGACCAATAATGATTCAAGGCTGCTGGTGCTGGTTAAAGTGTCATTGGTTTATAACAGGGACAAGGTGACAGAACTCGGTATTCTGATTGACGATTTTGTCACGTGATAATTGACAGGGGCAGAAATCATAACATGTGTAATTTACACACAACTTCATATTGGCTCTGCCTTGGTGTAGGACAAATGTCGAGCAAAACTAAATATCAAAATAGTAAGAAACTGTTAATAAAAATGATAATATACTTTAAAAGTGTCAGTCAGCTTATGAGTGAAAAAAAGAATTCTGAAGCTAAATATTAATAAATTAGGGGTTGAACCTCAATTAACAAACAACGAGTTCATTTAACTTCACTTACCAGATTCTGAGAAATGTGTATTATTCATCCTCAAAGAATGAGAATTATTCGACATGTTACATGAGCCAGTGCTTTCTTATTAGCTTCTATCACACAGAAGTTAAAAAAGCAAGGGTAACTCATTATTTCACGAAACAAAGTAATGCATCAAGTTCTACTGTGTTAATAGGACTGTTGGAATAAATATATGAACTCATTTACATTGGTCATTCTAATCGCTATACATTGATCTAACGCTTATAATTTTCTCATAATGTTAACAGATTTTATTTTATTTATTTATTTAAACACATAACATTGGTACAAGGAGGCACCAAATACATATGCGCCACATAAATCATTCGATCTATGTGAAGGCTGGGATACTGTCCGGGTGCCCAGACCGAAGCAGGTGGTTTTCTTAGGAGGCCATACCCCGAGCCTTAGACCTAAAGGTCTGAGGAGATGCAGTCCCATGGTAGCCGGTGACCAACGATTGGTTCATAAGCCACTTGTTCCCGCAGGATACTGGAGCCCATGTGCACCACTGGTTTGGAATCCAGTTAAAACGCCGGACATTCGCTTTTCGTCCTCTCATTTTCGTAAACAACACCCCCGCCACGAGAAGGCAGTGAGTAGGACTTCCCTGGCAGAGGCTGTATACGCGTGGCCGAGTGAGAGCATTTCGAGAGGGAGGGCGGGCCCACTCCACTCTCGGCCATACCAGGGCATTTAGGGGCATGTTAACAAACTGTATAAAAATTAGTCATGATGTCAATGGTTTACACAGAATATTTCTTAACAAGACACTTGGGATATACTTTGTGATAACTTTTTTGCTGCAAGTTCATAGTACTCACTGGATACCTGACCCTCAGTAAACAGTGTAGGGCGTGTTTGCTGTCTATCGGTAAAATCATTCGTTCAAACAAATTCCGTTTTATGATCTATAATTCTACATTAAATATTACACTAAACTTTCTTTTGATATGATATCGGTTATATCACTGTATGCAATTTCATTTCACTATAGAACCAAGATTTATGTTTTTTATGAATATGAACAGAGACAAATCCTACGTGTAGCAGCACTGATAATATTTGACAGCCTTTGAGTACAATAAAGTTATAGTACTTTACGTGATTCGTGAAGTTCTATAAGATCAAGAGGAATGTACATTTATCAGGTCTTACAGAGAAACATGAAATGTATATAGCACTTTGACAAAAGTAGTACATCTTTTGAACGGAACAATATACATCTAGAGATTTTATATGAACACTACCACATATAACAGCTTGCATATTTTATTTATTAGACTTTCAGCTAAAAATAGCTCTACGGACAGACTAATACGCGTTGTTAATTTTAGTGCTTAATGCTTAACTAAAGAAATGAAGTACTAAAAGAATATTATCAAATGTTATTTGAAGCAATGGAATGTATCATAAGTAATGACAGATAAGTGAGTGATCAAGGTTCTATTTTTAGAATGGATGGGCTTAAGCTATACGGAGAATGAAAGATAATAAAGCGTCAGAAAATAACGGCATAACTATAGAGATGGTTAGAAAATGGGAAGGACAGGCTAAAAGGAGTACTCCTAAAGAGAATGAATGAATTTGGGGAAAACCCAGGCACAATACCAACGCACAGAATAGACGCTGGTGTTAGCAGTTTAAACAAAAACAAAAGAGACAGGAATAATTCAAACAATTACAGAAGTATTTTCCTTTTTGACAACAATGGAAAGGTATGAGCTAAAGTGGCGTGCAACCGAATGAATGACAGAAAAGATGAGTTGTTACCATTGACGCAATTTGGCTCCCAAAGAAGCATGTTTACAGCGCAAGTAATTACAACTATTAGGTATATAACACAATGCACTTTAAATTCTGAAACCGAAATCGTTCTCACATTTATTAAACTAACCAAAGCATTGTATACAGTTCTAAAATCATTGCTAATGAAAACAATAAATGAGTTAAAACTATACACAAACATACAAGAAAGTGTAGAGGAAGCTCTTGGTGATCCATAATAACATCTGATAGGAACAGATTCTTACTTCAAAGTGTACTAACTTGAGAGAATTGGCATCAGAATACCCCATAAGAAAACCAAGACAATGATCACAAATGAAGATGAAGAGGAAGGGATAGTACATATAGACAATGCAACAATTGAAAGCATGAACTAATTTAAGTACTTGGGTCCCATTGTCCATGGTCTAAAAGATGAGGCGATCCAGGAAAATGTAATTAAAGCAAGACATGCAATGATAAAAATGAGACCAATCATAAGGTCAAATAATATTGGCATAGTAAAAAAAGCCGATAAGAACAGTAATAACACCCATCCTAACATACGGGCTAGAAACAATAGTATTGGGTCAAAAGGATGCAACAAAGATAGAAATAGAGTTAAACATTTAATGACGTATGGTATTAGAGACTAGTAGTAGAGAGCAGATAACAGTAAATGAGTTTAAAAAGAATACCAAATTTAGCTGAGAACAGGTTAGATGAATGGTACACACCAAAAAAGGATGGGAAATATTATGTATATAGTGATGAATAGTAATATAGAAATTAGGGATAACTCAGGGAAAGTATGCATTAAAAATTGGTTAAGGGAAATGGAGGCGCTTGAGCAGCAACTTCGTATAGATTGCATAAACACCCAGTAGATTAAGACTAGACAGATTTGGTACGTATAAAAGGTAAAAGAGGGCTGGTACTTAGCTACTTAAATGAGACCTGTCTCGGTTTGGGCACTCGGACAGTATCACAGCCCTTACACGAACCAAACTGCTACTGGCCTCATTGTTATTGTGCGGCCATACGTACTTCGTGCCCCCTTGTACCAATGTTTGTGTCCAAATAAATAAATAAACCTAAATGATCATTTCAACCGACTTTTCGCGACAAACAAGGGAATGAATCGTTATTATCGAGATGATCATGGTCCCTAAGTGACACAAACGCCCATATCAGATGAGTATGAATGTCCGACGAAAGACTGCTTGAAAAAGTATAAGGCTAAAGGATGAAAACATGCCAACCAGAGCATGCAACAGATAACAAACTAAACAAGATGGATCTGAACCCAGGAGACAATTCCCTGGACTAATCGAATTCAAAAAGTAAAACCAGAGTGAGAAATGATGAAAATTCAAAATCATGTCATAAGGATCGTCAGAAAGCATTACCTATATAGGAAGAAATAATTAGTTATTGCTATATGGTCCATTAGTGATGGGAAATCACCGGAAGGAAAGCAAAACGACGAGAACCCAGGACTAAAACAGATATTGGGCCTCGGTAGTTTTGCCGTGTCACCAGTAAGTGTTCCTAGGAGAGCCAATTGGCTTCAATAACCTATATAGCTGGAAGGGGCACTGCAGAGGTGACAAGTGGATCTGTACTTTTAAAAATAGCTTTTTGAGTACAATCGACACAGTAAGTTATTGCACATAATTTGACAATCTTATTAATTCACTGAAGATAGATTGTTTCTAGATGCTGTCTTACAAGTGGAAAATGTACTGTGACCATGGTGGACATTCACGCAGATATGACGCTGATTTCAGTAACTCATGAGGTAGGGGAGAAGTCAAAATCTAGAATTCTTTTGTTCTTCATCCTGTTGACTATTACCTGTTATATATTCAAGACAATAGTAAGGATAGTCAGGGTGAGTCGGAAACATGGAATTGCCCAATCTCCAAATTTTAGCGAAATTTTATCCGTTTTGGGGAAGTCGCTATAGATAAATGTGTAGAAATGGCACAAAAACCCGAAAACTTTCACAAAATAAAGAGATCGTGCAGATTAAAATTTAGTAGCAAAGTTTATATCTAGGGTGAAAGCAAAGATTTACCGCTACAGTCTTGTCCATTATTAAAGATGCGGGCGCTCGAAGGTCAAACCGTCGTAAAACGATTGGTGCGTCACCTCGACAATTCGTAAAGTTTTGCGGAAGCGGTCAAATCAATAGTTTTAGATTTGACTTGAGTTCAGCTACACTGTCTGATAACGTCCACCCTTCAAGTAACGAAGTAGATGCCATCGTAATGATGCATGGTATAGGACAAATCTTCAGTGATATTACAGAGTTCGAGTGAACTCAAGGTTATCTAGCTGGGGAACTGTGCTTAGTAGAGTGCCCCAGGCTACAGTTTTGGGGCCAGTGCTATTCCTCTTGTATGTAAATGACCTTCCTTGTCTCCTATCATCATCGGTATTGCTATATGCTGACAATGTCAAGATATGGAAAACGATACGATGTAAGAGTGATAGCCTAGAACTTCAAAATGACCTGAAGAAGTTATCTGAATGGTTTCAAACATGGCAGTTGCCGATAAATACTTCCAAGTGTGTTGTGATGCATATCGGTCATCAAGGCACAGATACATACACGATGAATAACACTGAGCTACCTGTCGTCCAGACATATAGTGACTTAGGAGTTATCGTTAGCCAAGACTTAAAGACTACTGCACACTGCCGTGCAATAGCCGCCAAAGGTTTTAGAACGTTATGGTCAATACGTAGAGCTTTTAGTCATGTCGACGCCAAGACGTTTTTGACTTTGTATACAGTGTTCGTACGTCCCAAACTTGAGTACTGCATACAGGCGGCTAGCCCCTGCTTAAAAAAAGACAGTGAGCTTCTGGAAAAGGTTCAGAGAACGGCGACTAAGCTGATTCCCGGAATAGCGAAGCTTCCGTATGAATCTCGACTGACCAAGCTGAACCTTTTCCCGTTGTCTTATCGCAGAACTAGAGGCGACTTGATTACAGTTTTCAAATCGCTTAGTGCCGAATTTGCACCTGATATGCCCTCATTTTTCTTGTCTCCCGAAACGGAGAATTTACGAGGACACTCCAAAAAGTTCATAAGCCGAGAACAAATTACTTGTCAGCTGACCATCGACTTTCCCATCGAATCATCGACGAGTGGAATTCACTACCTCAGCACGTGGTTGAGGCTTCATCCGTCGATTCTTTCGAGAGAAAGTCGCATCAGCTAAGGGACCACCATTGCCAGGACTAACACAGACTATCAAGCCTCCTATCCTTCCCAAACTGAAACCGAAGACATAATCTATGGTACTTACGATACACGTAATTTCGTTATGAACTAAGATTTCCACGGTAAAGTCTACGCACAGTCATGCCGACATAATGCATCAGTCACTCTTCAGTAATAAGAATAGTAGATTGGTGAACCTGTGTTAATCCTGACAGATTGCCTTCCAGTGAAGGTCCAGCTTCTCCTTGAAAATATTTACTGATGGGGCTGATACCACTTTTTCGTGTAAGGCGTTCCAGTCATTGACTACTCGATGAGAAAAACAAGACCCCACTTTAAGTTTATTAGATCGTGGTTTATGAACCCTCTTGCTATGACCTCGGAGATCATTAGTGCTGGGAGGAGAAAACAGATAGGGCATATTAACACCCAAATCATAATTAAGGATAAGAAATGCCAGTATAGGGTCACCTCGTGTCCTAAGATACGACAAAAGAAAAGGGTTTAGGCGTTTTAAACGCTCATCGTAAGGGATTCTAGAAAGACTCTTCACTAATTTCGTTCCCACACGCTGAACACGTTCAAGTGAGTTAGTATCCTTTATCAGATATGGGTTAGTTGCTTGAATACAGTACTCTAAGTGTGGTCTTACATAGGTGGGATATAAAATTTGAAACATTTCCTCGTCAAAAGATTTGAACGCTCGGCGAAGTGACTATAACACACGAAAACCTTTGACAGCGGCTGCTTTGCAATGCGTAGTTGTTTTTAAATCATGACTTACTACTACTCCTAAGTCTTTATGCTCTTGAACGCATGGAAGGGGTTTACTCTCAATAGTACCGTGACCGATGTGCATTAACACACTCTTCCTAACATTGATTTCTAAACCCCACTCTCAAGCCCATCTAACTAAATCGTCTAAATCAGCTTGAAGATCCAGATGATCAGCCGCACTTTTTATTGTTCTCCAGATTTTTACATCATCCGCAAACAATAATGTCGACGATCTAAGCAACATCAGTAACACACCAACGTAGAGAAGGAAGAGCAGAGGGCCTAAGATGGTGCCTTGGGGTACACCACTTTTGACTGGCTTCCAATCAAATAGCGTTCCGTTGACCCTCACTCTCTGTCTGCGGTAACATAAGAAATTTCCTATCCACTCATGTACAGTACATATTATTCCGAAGCTCGTGAGCTTCTGCATAAGACCTACGTGTGGAACCTTGTCAAATGCTTTGCTAAAATCTATGAATATCACATCGACAGACAGACCGTTATCTAGGGCTGCTGTCCAATCCTCCCTCGCAATAAGTTAGTCAAGCATGAACGCTTGTTACAAAATCCGTGTTGCTCAGGAGCTAACAGATTGTGTAAATCTATGTGGCTTAGCAACCTAACCCGAATTATCTTTTCAAGTAACTTGACGACTATGCTAGTTAGACTGACAGGTCGGTAGTTAGATACGATTTGTCTCTGGTCATCTTTAAATATAAGACTGACTATATAATCTTTCTAATCTCTGGAGGGTTGAGCGAGTGAAAGGGACATGTTGAAGAGTGTCACGAGCGGTCTCGAAATATTGTCCGCAAGAGATGACAGCAATCATGGATGTAGAGTAGACTTCGCTAAAACAGTTTGAAAAAGTCTCGGATTTGCTTGATCTGATTCAGCTAGTAAATCCGAATTTTCGTGTAACAGCAGTGGGGGGAATACCATCAGTACGTTTTGTTCGCTGTTTAACATACTAGAACAATCGTTTCGGACAAGTATGGCTATCATATGTCAACTCTCGTTCGTAAATAAGCGGGATTTAGCCATGGTCTTTTCACATATATTCCGGATTTGTTTACATTCACACTTAAATGATGCGCGTCCTGTTGACAAGAATAAGCCCCAGGAGTGTTTCTTACGCTTCAATAGTTTCCGGGTTTTCTTATTAATCCATGGAGGGCAATGTGATAGCTTACGTGATAACCATGGGATAAATGGCGATGTTACGGACTCAGATGTGGCCTTCAACGTATTCCATTCGTCTTCGATAGTTTCATTCACGTCGACCGACCGGTCAGTTGACATAGCACAGTCCCTGATTGTCGAAATATTGGCTCGCCAGATATTGGGACGGCTTGGAGTAGATACAAATTGTACACCATGTGTTCTAAACTCAAGATAGAGCATAACGTGATCACTACTTACTAGTGAAGGAAGATGCTGAATGCCGATGACATCCTCACAGTGATGTGTGGAGACAAGGCCCAACAATGACGGGTCATGTTCCAAGTCAATATGTATCGGTTTTGCGATGCACTGTACAAGTGCACACTGAATAATCGTTGATAGAAGGTCGCTATCGAGACCCTCACCCTGAGCTGTAAACTCTATCCACTTGATATGAAATGCGTTGAAATCTACAATGATGAGACAACATTCTGCCTTACACCAAAAACAGATGTGTCTAAAGATAAAATCGTCAGTAAGACAACAAGGACTACGGTATATTCCTCCTATAGTCACTAACCAGTTTCTGGACTTAATTGTGCGGCATTGTGCCTCACGTGTACCACTGACATGAGCCTCCGATATGACTGGTTGTATACGAAAGTGATCCCTAACGTGTAATATTATGCCTCCTCCCTTGCGACTTAAAACTTTATTAGTTCTAATACGGATGTAACCTGTAATGATGAGAGAATAGTCTATATCTACGGTGAGCCAAGTTTGTGTGACGACAACTATATCATGACTTAATTAATCCACCATCAAACCTAGCTCAAACGTTTTATTTCAAAGACTAGGGGCGTTCTTGTAACACATTTTCAAGATGCTTTGGAAATCATTCGTTCTACACATACAGGTCTCGGAAGCATTGGCTCCCAAGATCTGACTACCCGAAAACCCTTAATCGCAAAGTTCGTTTCGCCATTTAGCTTTCGATTTCTTAACTTTGCAAGAGGATTCTTCCACTTGATCCGATCCTCAAGAGGCCAGTCTGGTCGGATACGAATATTTGAATCCCGAGTTTTGTGTGCGTTATTCAATATTATGTCTATTTCCTCAAAATTCCCGAGCACCAACCTCAAGATCCTTCTCGGTTGGGTCTCACCTCCAACCCATTTACCGAGTCCTATTACCTTCGTGATATGTACCCCAGAAACCTATTCATGCAGTACATTTCTGATTACAGATTCCACTAAGTACAGGTCGTGTGCATGTCTTTTAGCAGAGCCATTGCTTTTTGACTCCTTTAGATTCCAAATATTCAAACTAGGAAGGGGTTTAACTCCTTTGAAAATCATGTTCACGGCTTTCGACCATGATGTCAGATCTTGCATACTGACTGCTGGCATCTTACCGTTAGTTTTCTTTGTAATGGAATCATGGGAGTCGATTGAATGACTCATATCAACGTTTGGTGAGGTCTTACTTTGGGACTTTCGTGGAGTAGTTTGGACTATCTTTCCTACTCTTCTACGTTCCCGCGTCATCCGTTTTCCATCAGTCGCAACATCTACACTGGAAGTACTTGGAGCGGTGATGGTGTTGTCAGGATCGTCACTCACTGCTATAGCAACTTGGCCACCAATATCTAATGTCGTGCTGTTTCGGGGCAGAAGGCTCAACTGCGTTTTACATAGTTGAGTGTCTGGCGGGTGCAATAACAGCACTTACAACACTAACGCAATCTTCGCCATCAGTACCAGCTCAACCACCATCTTTTATCTTACAGGCTAAAGCTAATAAGCTCAGCCTCTTGAATTAGTAACGTCTTATTTGTACGCGCAACATGTAAAGCCAATGCGATTTAGGTTGGAGCATCTTTTGTATGCGTTGGGACGTAAACGAATGCACATCTTATGGAACCACTTTTACACTCATTGCACTGTATACATTCGTTCACAGGAAACAAACGGTTTG